AATTAATTGGGGGTTGTTTAAAAATCTTTAAAATGGCATCACTCCTTGAAGAGCTAAAATTGAGACTTAAAGAACAAAAAGGAGAAGCACAAGAGGAAAGAGGATCTTTTGGCTTCGTATTTCAATTTTTAGAAATGGAGATTTTGAACTATGAAAAACAACAAGAAATGCTTGCAGAACAAGAAGGGCAGGACAAAGAAGAATCCATCTTTAATGACCAAGCAAGTGGCGTAAAAAAGGAAAGGGGGGAAGAGAGTTAAAAGTCTAAGATTTGAAGCAACAACCCCCCAAAAAGAATAATTCAAAAAGTAACTGTTACCTTAGGAAGAAGCAGAAGGGAGGATCACAGAAGGGAGAATCAGATAGAAAAGGGAACAAAAAGGGGAGGGAGAAGAAGAGGAGGAAGATGGAAAGGAAAAGAAGTTATAAAGGACAGAAACAAGATATAGAGAAACAGGAAAAGTGTACAAGAATTAAAGGTATAAGCCTATTTAAAAGACACAGAGACAAAGGTTAAAAATTTAACTTAAAGAGAGGATTCTGCAAGAGTACATGAGATAGCATTGTTATACTAGAAATAGAAAAGAGTTAGAAAGTACGATAGATGATTAAAGTGATAGATAAAATTGTTATTGATGTGTCATGGAATATTTGTCAGTAATTAAATGAAACAAAGAGGATAAGAGAATAAGGCTCTCAATGAGATATTGAAAATTAGAAAAAGATATGTAATTGAACTTAGAAAGGAATGAGATAATTAAAAATAAGGTTATAGAAAGCAAAGAAAGGGAAAAACTATTGAGAAAACTATGAAAATAGTTATAAGATATGGATCAGAATACATAAGATGAATATGTAATCGAGTTTATGTCTGTATGGAGAAGTGATAACCCGGGAGCATGCTGTTCTCAAAAAAAAGATATTTTATTTGTATGTTTTGTGAAAACCCAAATAAAACTTTATAAAAAAAAAACATTGGTGGATTGCACAAAGCTGCTTGGCAGGTGTTGTGCTGACCTGCTCTAGGTAATTTAAGATCTTCCTGATATTTCTGCTACCACCAACCCTTTTCCTGATTTGGACCTCCCCTGTTTCTTTCAGTAATGTGACATAGTGAAACATGGAGATAACCTGTATTGCCTTAGTCAATGAGACAATACTGGGAAACAAGGATGAAATAATGTTTAATTTAAAGATGATCTAATCTTAGCATTTCTCAACTGTGTATTGCATAAAGCATATATTTGCTGTTGATAAAAAAGTTTTTCAACTTGGATACATCTCTGTACTCATTAGAACTATCTTTGTTAGATAATTTAATAAAAATACTCAGCTTTGACTTCATGAGTTTGTATTAAGATTTGCTTAATGTTTCGAAGTAAATTAATTTTGTGTGATCTTCTAGATAAACTAGCTTCTTGGCATTTAGTAACATACAGTAACCAACCATTCCACATTATTCTCCTGATACAACAGTAGCTTTAAGATTCTTCAGCTGAGATTATCGTTACTTAAACTGGTCATTCTGAGTGGTAGAAGATATACTTGGATAAGAATCCAGAGCTTCACTCCCAACACATCTTTCCAGTTCTCTATTTCCTAGTTGAAAGTGGAACTTCAGACTTCTCTAATCTATCCCCCCCTCAAGAATTTAGTTGAGAGGATGTGCTCTGGCTTAAAATTCTTGGAATGACAAATTCCATTTGCCATCATCACAGAGCCCTTCATATCCATTGGTTCCCTCATCTAGACAAAGTAATAGCAGAATATCTTATTTTAGAATGTTTCTAACCTCTTCAACTTTTTTTGTATTCAACAAAATTTCCTATGTCAATCTTAGACAGTTACATCCTTTGGTAGATGATGAACATCAAATTTCATAGAAATAAACCTTGCATATGGAAGACGCAGTCACTTAATTGGGTTACCTCTTTTCCACTTATTTTTAGGAAGTTATAAACAGTGAAGAATTCTTTTGAGGAGGGCTTAGAATGGGTGTGGAACAACTGATCCAAATTTGTTAGAGTTCTAATATTTCCTATTTGTGAAAGTCATACTTTGAGTACCTATACAGGATAACTCTTGCAGACAGAAGTCCCTAAGTAGACAAGGACTTTGTCTCACTGTCATATTATTTGGTTGTCCTAGTACAGTCCTATTAAAAATACAGATGCCCTATACTTTTTTGCTACTGAGTTACATGGTACTTGTGTCTTCTAGCTGTACCAAACATGTCCTTTTAAAAGACCTATTAACATAACGCATTAAGCTTACAAAAGCCTGTAAAACACAGTATAAATTGGTATGCTTTATGCAGGGGTGGGATACGACAGGATGAACTACCGGTTTGGGATTTACAAGCTTCCCTGCACGCTGCGAGCCGTGCACCTATAAATCGTCATCAGCATGCTGCGTGCAGAGAAGCAGCCTTTGAAACAGCCCTCTTTTCCTGCTTTTCTAACTGCAGCCGTCCCTCGCATGGCAGCTGAAGTTGAAAAATCAGGAAATAAAGATCAGGTAAGAGCCTGGGTGGGCGAGTGGGCAAAAACATCAGCAGACATAGAATTCTATGTCATAGAATTCTATAGACATAGAACTCTATGTCTGCTGCTCTTCAGAGCTACCGGTTCTACAGAGGTGGACAGAACCGGTAGAAACCTACCCCTGGCTTTATGTATGGGACAACTCCCAGCAGATTTTACTACTATCCACACACTTAAAGGAAATTTGCCTATACAGGTAGTCCTTGACTTATGACCACAATTGAGCCCATAATTTATTTTGCTAAGTGAGGCATTTAAGTGAATTTTGCTCCATTTTATGACCTTTCTTGCCACAGTTAAGTGAATCACTTCGATTGTTAAATTGGTGACACGATTGCTAAGTGAGTCTGCCTTCCCCACTGACTTTGCTTGCCAGAAGGTCGCAAAAGGTAAGCAGATGATCACCAGACACTGCAACCATCGTAAGTATGAGTCAATTGCCAAACTCCTGAAATTTGATCATGTGACTGTGGGCATGCTGCAACGGTCATGTGAAAAACAGTCATAAGTCACTTTTTTCAGTGCTGTTGTAACTTTGAACGGTCACTAAATGAACTGTTGTAAGTCGAGGACTACCTGCACTCTAATGAATGGGGAGGATCAATGGCTAGGGAATTTGAGGAGTTAAGCCTAAAACCTCTGGGAAGCCTTTTCACGGGTAGAGAGACCCACTTACATTCCAAGAACTGTATTTGCAGCACCAGAATTCTCTGCATTCTCAGTGCAGATTTCTCCATTGCCTGGATTAAGGTCCAGTCATTTCCATCTCTGCTGCTTCTCATAGAAGAGAACACTGTAGCTCCGGGTTGAACTGTGGAGCCCTCGGTGCTCTCAGAGCTTCGCTGTCTGCTTGCAGACCTTTCATTACCCAACTAACATCACCGGTACAAGTCTGTAACATGGACACACTAATCAACCTTCTTTGTTAAACTGATGATGTTACCCTAGCCAAGTAATGAAAGGTCTGCAGGCGAACAACCAAGCTCAGACTGCAGCAAGGAGTCCATAGTGATGATTCTGGCTGGGCATGATGGGAATCATAGCAGAGCAAGGTGCCTGATTTAGTAAAGACTAGCGAATTGGTCTAGTTTGGCACGACGCTGCAGCCTCAATTCTGCCATCCGTATCTGAAACCGGGCAAAGATGCGCCCTTTGAAAGGAAGAACGGTCAGGACCTGCGCCATTCCGACCTCCGCCATCAGGGGGCAGCCGTTCTTTTCCTGTCGCAAGCAGCGGAGGCCTCGCAGTGGGAGGGGCAGGATTGAGTAACGGCTCCCTTTGTCCTCTTGACTCAGTTTGCAGCGTGCACAAAACCCGGGGAAGCGGGTGTAATTTTTCTAGGCGAGGTTTCGCTTCGGTCCTGTCTTTCGCTCTCAGGACTGGAAGAGTACATTTTCAGAGTAATGTCTGTTTAGAAAAGATGCACCTTTTGTTTTCAGTTTGCTCGGGAAGACAGCTCCCCCGAACTCAGGTTTAGGGGCGTGTGCGCCTGTGTTATGTAAAAAAGATACACATAGTCCTCTTTTATGCTCCGGTTCGTATGGGGGGGGGGAATGCAATCTTTAACAACAGGAGGATTGTTAAGTTACGATTTTAGGGTCCCAGTGTGAAGCATGTTCAAAATTGTAGGTCGTAGTCCCCGCCTCCCTTCTTCTCCACCACGGAGCTTCATTTCTGCAAAAATACCTCATTCCTGCAGGTCGCCGGATTCCCTATACGTGCTCCTTTTTAGATGGCCGAGTGATCCTCGCTGAAACCAGAAAGGATTAGACTCAAAGACTATCGTAGAAGTAGAAAAATGGCCAATTGGAATATGGAGCCCAAAGACTTAAAACACGCGAATCCGAACGGAGTGGAGTGACTTCGAAGTAAAGGTGGCCCGAGTGGAACTTGGGAGGTCTAAAAAGCATTTGCACTATTCACCCGAAGTTCCCTCTCGAATGAACGTGTACCTTAAAGCAGCTAAAATCACATCAGTTGGGGCTTAAAAATTGTTTGCCTCTCGGGAGTCGACAGCCTTATCCGAAAGCTATCGATTAAGGTGATTGCTTGTTTTGCAAACCGTGTGAGCGGGACTGGGGCCTGCAAGGAAACAAGAGGCGAAGTTCGGGACGATCTTGGGGTGTTGCCTCAAAAACAAAGCGCCCTCTTCAGGTGCTGCGCTTGCACCTCGGCTGGCGTCGCGAAGGGACCTTCGCCAGACGCGCCTGCAATTTGGGGGCGCCACGTGTGGACGAAGGCGGCTTCTTGGGAAGGGGCAGCACATCTCGGGGAAAGAAGAGGGAGGGTCGGGAAGGAGCCGTCCTTACTTTCTTCTATTGGACGGACGATGTCTTCAGGCGGGCGGTGCCGGGGGCGGTCCCGACAGCCCCGTCTTGTCCCAGGCCGGGCACAGAGGGAGGGATTGGGAGGTAGCTGTCGCCGCCTGGCCACGGCGGCTCACTTCCACACCGACGATCCAGACGGCCCGAGCCATCCCCGCCTCCCCTGGAGCCGCCGGGGATGGGGAACACGGAGAGCGGGGAGCCGGGCGGGGGGCCCGGGATGTTGCCGCCCCCGCCGGGAAGAGTTCCCATGCCGGATCAGGGAGAGCTGGAAGAACGCTTCGCGATGGTGCTGGTGAGAGAGACCCCTCCTCCCATCCACCCCGCCCCCCCCGCTCGGCCCCTGCCCCGGTTCCCCCCCCCCCCCCCCGCCCCAACCCCCCCCCCCGCCCCCCCCCCCCCCACAAGACCCCCCCCCCCCCCCAAAAAAAACACAAGCTGCCTCAGAGACCTCGCAGCGTTTATTGCAAATAAACTCGTCCGCATCTCCGACCTTGCTGGAAATCGGTTCCTTTCGAGCCGCGCTCTCTACGAACAGAGATGGATCACCAGCCTCAGTGCCTTGCTCCTTTTTTTCCTTTCCCTTTCCCGCTCCCCTAACTTTTTCGGACACTTCCACACACACACACACACGGTCCTAAAAGATCCGGGAAAGCATTCCGGATCTCTTTCTTTAGCTGGGATTGAAGCGCAAGCCCTGGGGGGCGGGGTGGGGGGTTCTGCCTCCCTGATTTCCACTTGTTCTGGTTGTTTCCCCACTTGGGTTTTTCTGTTACCCTTGTATGCCCGTCGCCTGTAGTTGTGTGCTCAACTCTTTTCCCTGCGGAGCAAAATTCCCACCGAGGTGGCAGTTACTCCAAGTAGATCGTGTCATTTCAGAGATAATCGCACCCACCTCTGTCCGTCAGCTATTTTTTTTTCCTGTTAGATACCTGCCTCCTCTCCCCCCCCCCCTTTGCATTGCTCATGCTCCTAGTCCTATAGGTATCTTTTTTATATATCCACTCACAGAGGCTTGAGACTTCGTTTTGACCGATGCCCATTTTTTAATCTGCCTAGAATGTGTCACCGCTGGCAAGCAGATTTCTCTTAAAATTTCAGATTTGCACTGAACTGTTCTGGCCCAAGGTGGGCTTTTGATTAAGAGCCAGGAGGTCAATGGTCCATCTATCTCACCCTTGTTATTTCCTATTCTAGTGGGAAATGTCATCATATACTAATTTCCTTCAACTTTCTTGCCTTTATCCACTGCACATAGGATATCCTTTTTAAAAAAGTTTTTTTCCCCATTTCCCCTTCATTGTTCATCCTAACTTTTCCTTGCAACCATGGCGTTGGGTTGATTTCCCTTTTTTTCACTAACCTGGCTTTACCTACAGAAATGCTGCAGTGTTTGGGTTTTTTCTTCCCAAGACTGACTTGAATGGGAAAAGTTTATGAAGCAACCTTGTCTGGGATGTATATAGTTTAGTTCTGTCCTGCCCAAGCTTTGATGGAAGACATCAATGGATTCAACTGATGGATTTTCATATTTTTTTAAAAAATCTGAATCTAGTTGATCTTGTTAACCTGGAATCTTTTGGGTTGGAAACCTATGGCCTAATTCACACAAGGCTCTAAAAAGCTTAATGTGCATTGTTTGGTTTTAGTTTAATTCACATATTGTGGACCCAGCCTTTGTAGATTTAAATCTTGGATTTGGGGTTACATGTTGTATGAACTTAACCAGTTACAGTTTATGCAAAAAAGCATGGCTAATCAAACCATGACTACATAAAGGGATGAGGATGCTGGGTATAATATTGCATTACTTTCCTAAAATGAGGTTTTATAATTCCTATTCAATCCAAATAGAAAACAATATGGGGTTATACAGGGTTTATGTCATTTATTCATTGACCTGGATTTCTAGTAATACTCCTAATCTGTATTAAGAGCTCTGATGTTAAGAATTAATGTGCTGAAATTCATTTCGGAAGTGTTACTGTAATCTAAAAGACTGGAGGATAACCTTGTGACTGCTTCGTAAAAAGAAGAAAGGAAGAGTTGTGTGACTCCTCCTACTTCCATAAATATATTGGGATGAAATATGTATGTGGAATTAGATGTGTTCTTAGATGTTACATTGAATATTCTTCCCAGGAGTTCTTGGCAGTGTGTGTAGCTCTTGTTCACTTTGTTCCTCCCACTCTCCTAAGATTAGACTGAGAGAAGCCTTGACCAGTCACTTGCCAAAAATGCAAGAAGAGCCACTTTTGTATCTTGTAGCGTTAGACTTTTGCACCTTGACTGCACTGTGAAGGTCTGGTGTGTAAACTTTTCTTCACCTATTGAGTTTCTTGTAAGAACTTGTAAGTTTCAAAAAGAAGAAGAAGAACAGATGTTCCCCCTCCAGATTCAGTGTTTGAAGGGCTAAGGCTGCCAACAGTGAGGAAAAGGATTTGTCAATAGAGTCAACAAATGTCCTCCCTTGGTGCATTCTGAGAATGAATTGAGATATGCTCACTCAAAGAATCTATAGTTTCTGGCTGGCAGAGCTTCATAAAAGAGGCAGGTTTTGAATCAGAGCATCTTCACTGCATCCTCATAACCCTCCTTTGGTTGCTACACTTTGCTGGCTATTGCAGGATGATGCTGAGTTCAAGACTACCTAGTCAGCTTGTATGGCCAATTGTACAAGATCTCTAAAAATGTCCTATATAAATACCTTCCATCCTCATCCTTTAATTAGGTAGCACTGGCAGGGAATGCTGCCTTATTTTCCATTATGAAAATTAAACATTAAGATGCTTTTAATTACACATTAAGATGCACAAACAGCTTTCAAAATTATGCACATCCCTTCTGCTAATACATTGATAAGAAACACTTCAGAATTCCACATGAAGACAGATCAATTCTGTGCTATATGCATTGGAATACAGGTCTCATTCTCTCATATAGGTGGGAAAAATTAAGATAGGGGACTTGACTGTTACAGGGATGGCCTGCATACTACAGAACTTGCAGATCACAGAGCTCCCCCCCCCATGGCATTTTAAACTATTTTATGGGTAGGTTAAAGGGCAAAGATTTCCTTAAATCCCTTCTCCCTGACTACATGGGGTGGGAAAATTAAAGGACAAGTGGATGTCTTTCCATTTGAAACTCCATTTGAAATGTAAACACAGAAAAGAATTTACTTATCCCTGGACAAAAACTAAGGAGATCCGGGTTTAAACACCCTGCACAGAATTTCTCTTAGGAATTTAGGTAGAAGTATTTAGTTGTCTATTTTTAGAAAAAGTTTGTGTCATCCAGGTACATGTTACATGTGTAAAACTCACTTCTATAGTAAGGAAAAACCAATTAATCAGTTTTAATTAGTACATTAGGTACATTTATTGATCTTGAAAAGAATATTTCTCTGAGATATTAAATAAAAAGATTGACACTTTCACTGTGAGTGTTTGAAATTTCAAGACAATTGGTGAGCTTTAGTAATACTTGTAGCTGTATACCTGGGGGAGAGGATTTCCATGCAGTTATTTTTCCTTAGCTAATGGAGAGTTTGTTTGTTAAAAAATTCCACTCCAGTGATGTCAGAATGAGAGGAAGTTGACAACATGTGATACATAGTTTTCTCCTTTATGAATCTTTTCTCAATGGATAGGTTATTTGAATATTGCCACTTTAGGAAATAAGATGATAGTTCAAAAGTACATGATACTGGATTTATAGAAATTTATAAGAAATTTAAAAGAAATTTATATGTTACCAAACCATTGCTTCTTCTAGCCCCATTAATTATCCACTATGATTGACAGCAGCTTTGCACACTGATGTCTTGTTGACTGGAGATACTAGGCCCATACACTGGAAAATTTTGCATACAAACCATTCTACTTTTGAGTTCCAATCCATAATAACACCCACAGTCTACTAATGTAATATTGCAGATCCTACTTTGCAATTTAGAATGAGGAGTATCAAATGTAAGTACAGAATTCAGCATCCTGAAATTTTTGGTTTGTTTACTTTAAATTTTAAAAATGTGCACATCTTTGTGTAGCTTTTATGACTGAGGATGTTTTGGAAAGCATCAGGTAAAGCCTGTTATAATATAAAAATGAGATTTAGTTCATCACAAGCTTGGATATAATAACCTTCCTAGTTATTGGAAGGTTGTTTTCCATGCCTGTGGGAAGGATTAACAAATAGAAGAAAATGCAAATACTGCACAAAAATGCTGCAAAATAGGTAAATATATGCAAGTTTGATCAATTAGCATAAATTGCTCTGGTTCCTAGTTCCAAACTAAATATGGAATTTGAATTTATTGGATGCAGAATTATAATGTTTAATATGCATATATGTGTGTGGGATGGTCTTGGTGGAGCACACATGGTTCTGAAAAAAATAAAGAGCTGCCTGTATTTATGAAGGTCTCAACCTTTATGGCTGATGAATTCCAGTTCATAATTTAAGCGGGTGCAGTTTTAAACTTCCTTAGGACAGATTTAAACACATGATAAACGTAAGACAGAAGAAGATACATTTTGGCATTCTGTGATGCAATTTGACCACTCACTTCATATCAAGCTTGTCAACCATGCTGCTTTCCTATGGCATACTATACATTAGTTCTGAACTAACTAGTATTTGATCAATTTAAGCCACTTTCCAGTGTGAATGGTGTGTTATGTGTTCCAAATCTCACATACTAGGCTGGAACAATTTAATTTGATCTCTTAGGGCAAGGGTCTTCAAACTTGGCAAGTTTAAGACTTGTGGATTTCAACTCCCAGAATTCCTGAGCTAACATGACTGGAGGAGGAATTCTGGGAGTTGAAGTCCACAAGTCTTAAACTTGCCAAGTTTGAAGACCCCTGTCTTAGGGGCTTTTGCTGCTCTTTTTTGCTCATTGTAGTGCTACTATGGAAAACTAGTTTTTATTGTTTTGATTAATTCTCCTTTATCTCTGCAAATATGTTACATTACTGTGGAAGCTCTAGTCCTGGACAAGATTTGTTCTTGGTGTTTATAGATGAGAGATGAGGATCCTTTTGTAGTGAGAGATTATATTTTTAAAAATTATATTTGGCATCCAAGAGCAGAGAAACATAAATGTAATGATGTCTCTGAAGAGGCAGAACAGAATTTTTGGGCTTGTTTTCTCTGGTTTTGAAAAGATTGCCGTTTTAAAGATTGATCCATGACCTAAGTCCATTCAGTGCTTAACACACCGTAGTTGTTCATAATTTGAAAAAAATATATATATTCTGTCACATCTCACCAATTTGAAATGGATTTTAT